GTGATAAATATAGTTGTAAAGTACTTACACTGTCTCTTAGATTATATTAATAATAGCAAAAACTGTTTTATAAAGTCTTTCTACATTGAATCACAGCATAATTTGATGTCCTGGTGTGACACTGCAAGGTAAGTACTGACTGGACTGCTAACTGCAAGATCAGTGGTTCAAACCCATCAGCCACTCTTTGGAAATCCTATACAGGGTCTTTATGTGTTGAAACTGTCTTGTCAGCACTTAAACAGACAAAACAAGTGGAAACCTATCTTAAGCAGAAGCCTGTTTTGAGTTTTCTCCTTTTCCTAGAATTATTACTTCATTCTCAAAAAAGTTATGTTGTTGTTGTTGTTAAGTGCTGTTGAGTAGGTTCCGATTCATAGAGACCCAGTATAGGGTTTCCAAGGAGTGGCCAGTGGATTTGAATGTCCAGCCTTAGCAGTTATTAGCCAGTATTATCCTACAGGGCCACACCAGGATTCCACAGGTTCACAGACACTAAGTACCATAACATTGCAGCTGCCACATGAGAAATTTGACAAAAGCAGCGACTATAAGATCCTGTTGTTGTTGGTTGTTTAGTACTGTGGAGTGACCCTGCACAGGGTTTCCGATGTTGTAAATCTTTACGGGAGCAGGAAATCTCATCTTTGTTCTGCAGAACGGCTGGTAGTTTTGAACTACCGACCTTGAGGTTAGCAGCCCAATTCGTAACCACTATGCTATAGGCAGCAACAAAAATTGTGTGCTTGTAGCTCATGTGAAAGCAAATGCTTCAAAGCATTATTGTAATGCTCTAACCAGAGCAAGTCAACCTCACTGCCATCAAATCTATTCTGACTGCTAACAACTCTATAGGATAGGCTAGAACTGCCCCATGGGGCTTCCAAGGCTGTAAATCTTTACAGGAGAAGACAGTCTCATCTTTCTTCCCAAGAGCAGCTAAATTAGAATACAGTTTTTGCCTTATAGTTATACTGATATTACGTAAATTGGGATTGGAGTCTTGGTATGATGCTTTAGGATAAACCCTGAACTGCTGACCAAAAGGTCTTCAGTTCAAACCCACCAACCGTTACTCAAAAACCCTGTCCAGGGTCACTATGATTCAGAACTGCCTCAGTGGCACTTAAAACCAAAGTTGGGATTTAGAAAAAGGGTTTTGTTATAACTAACTTAAAGGATGTTTCGATAAAAAATGATATATTTCTGCTGAAACACCACCACACAGAAAGTTTATAGACAGTCATTTTGGTGTCAGCCCCCCCCCCCCCCCAGTGTCACTCAGTGTGGTCCACCTCCCCCTAGTGACGCAATTGCCACATCCTGTTAGGTCAGAGGTCTGTACAAAGACTTCGGATTTCTGAAAAGCTTTGAGAAGCTGTTCAAGGGGTGGAGGAACTTTACACACATTTGCTTACTGAGAGGTCCCCTAGGGCTCAGACTTGGGAAGATTAGAATATAGGGGCCTAAGGGGACTCTTGGCTTCATGTTGTAACCACCAACTGAAAAGATGGCAGTGGACAGACAGATTCCAGACACAATGCTTATACATCTTTAACCCATTGGATATGCTAGTTTTGGACAACTTAACCTTATTTGGACCTAAAAATGTTAATTTGCGCCTACAACCCTATCTTATATAGTTACTATTGTTAAGTGCCTTCAAGTCAGTTCAGATTCATAGCGACCCTGTATATAGTTTCTGAAGAGTCACTGGTGGGTTTGAACTGCCAACCTTGCAATTAGCCGTCTAGTGCTTGTGTTCAGTGCCATACCAGGACTCCCATCTCATATAGGCAGAAGGGGAGTGGGGACAAGAAAGAAAACTGGGGGGGAACAAGAAGAAAGAAAAATAACCTTTCCCCCCCTCAAAACAAAAGCCCCCAAATCCCAACATATGGTTGATGTATTGCCATCACAGCGAGGTAATGTTATACTTACATATGGAAGGTATTAAGTAAAATGAAAATGGTTATGTTACGGTCATAGACTTAAGTACCATTTGTGAGCTTAAGGAGTGGGATTACAAGGGACTTCCTATGTTATGTCTTTGTGTAATGTTTCAACTTTCATAACAAGTATGTTATATTTTTATATTCTTAAAATCAAGAAAAGGCTATATAATTTTATATTTTTTATATATACTAGAATAAAGCACTGGACCACAAGGTGGGCTTGAACCAAAAGGTCAGCAGTTCAAAGTCACCAGCTGCTCCTTGAAAACCCTATACAGAGTCTCCATGAGTCAGAATCAACTCAATGGCAGTTAACACCAGCAACTACAACGTAGAAGGAAGAGTTCCATTCTTACACTTCAGTTCACTTGACAAGGTTTAGGCAGTTGTTCATTCATTTAAAGTATATATTTACTGAATTTGACACAAGAGAAAAAAAAAAAAAAAGATTACAATGTTTGTTGTTACGTGCTGTTGACTCAGTTCCAACCCATAGAGACCTGAGGGATGTCTGGTGAGCTTGAACCACCAACCTTGTGGTCAAACTAACTTTGCAGTCCAGAGCATTAACACACCGCATCACACCAAGATTCCTTTAAGACTAAAAGAAAAGAGGCAAATTTTAATCCAGTTCTTAAAGTAAATAGCTAACAGTTCAAGAATTCTTGATAACAACTTGTTTTTGTTAAGTGCCACCGTCGGTTTCGACCCATAGTGACCCTGTATAGGGTTTCCGAAGAGCAGCTGGTTGGCTTGAACAGTCAACTTTGAGGTTTAAACTGACATTGCGGTCCAATGCATTATCTTGCAGCACCACACCAGGACTCCTTGATAAAAGCTAGTCACATAGAATATATAATGACTACTTTGAAATATTTTAACTTTTACAAATTTTATTTAGAAATTTGGAAAATCCTAGGAGCCTAAGAGTCAGTCCATGAAATGCTTTGCTATGTCTCTGGTCTTTTATATAGTCTAAATATCAAGGGCAGAATTTCTTCCTTGCCAATACCTGCAGAGTTGAAGACAAAGAAAAGGGATCCCACCAACTTCCTATAAGCTTTTCAATGTATTCTTCCTAATTGACAATAAGGAAGTTCTATGAAATGCCTCTTAGGAGTTTGGATTTCCCGCATTCTCATTAGCCTATAAAAGAGATGTATAGGTCCTGTGGATAGTTTAGCTTTTGCAAATAAAATCTACTTCTATTTGATGCCTTTGGATATAGTCTTTTCATTTTTACACATTAGTAGTTTATTCAGCAAAGGTGTGGTAGTTCTGTAGGAAAAGGACTGAACTGTGAACCACAATGTTAGATGATGGAGCATACCACTCACTCCCTCACTCCGCCAGAGAAAGATGAGGCTTTCTGCTCCCACAAAGATTTACAGCTCAGTGGCACTTAACAAGTTAATTCTGCCAATGATTGGTAGATATTCACTTCCTGGCTCTATAAGACCATTCTGTTCTTTGATTAGCAATGTCACAGATGTTGGGAGCATGCATGTGCAAATTGTCTGGGGTGTGTTCGTGTTGCTGTTTTTTTGTCAGACAGTTTTTGGATATAAAAATATAGCATCCTGTCAAATCTGTAAATCCTAAAGCATTTCGACCCTACAACATTGTATACTATTTGTTGCTTGCTTTGTCCACCCCCAAAATTAGAAGTCTGCATATTGAAAGAGTCTGATCTGAATTATTAAGTGCTATGGAGTGGGTTCCATCTCATAGCAACCTTGTATAGGGTTTCCAAGCTGTAAATCATTACAGAAGCAGAAAGTTTCATCTTTTTTCCTGTGGAGCGACTGGTGGGGCTTGAACCTTCAAACCGAATCACAAGTTCACAGTCCAGTGCTTATCCTCTGATCTGAATAGAAATGATATTATTCCCAGAATCATCCTAAAGCCTCATAAACCAGAAGGTTGTTTGGCTCCTAAATAACCATGTTTGAGCGACTCCCTGGATTCTCCCCAGGATACCTGCCTGGAAACTGCGGGTGGGTGGTGGAGACAATGAGTGAGCTTGGGCCGTAGCGTAGCTTTGATGCGGGCGACCTGGGAAGGGCAGAGGCTTGGCGCGACATGCGGGGTACCCTTGGGGCAGGTGCGCCTGAGCCCCACGGCAGGCGCTCCACGCCGGGTTTTCCGCCGCTCCCCTTGCACAGACATACACCAGACCCACAGACACACACGCTCGCGCCCGCGCCTCCCCGGCTCCGCTTCAAAGCGGGCGGCGCCTGGCTGTGCGCTGTGATGCTATGGCGCGGCGGCTGGGCTGCCGGGGGCTGAGGCTGCGGGGAGGGACGCTGCGGGTGGCAGAGGCAGGCTTTTGCAATTCTGAGTATATTTTTTTTAAAGGAGTTTGAGGAGGAGCTCAGCAGTGCTGAGGACCGTGAGGGGCGTGAGGGGGAGTGTTCCCGGAAAGCCTCAGTGGTGGAGCCGCGTTGCGCCCCGCCGCCCTAGGAGTTGAGAAAGAAAACAGGAAACGTGGTGGCCGCACACCCGACCGTGGCTGATTCATTCAGTTGAAGCGCAGCTCAGATAGATGCTCGGCGGGCGAGCGGGCGCAGGGCGCACAGGAACGCGGTCTGGGGCCAGGGACGGAGGAGATCAGAAGTGGACCAGAGGTTCCCTCTGCGGGGCAGGCACCGAAGCGCGTGCGCCACCCCCGTCATGTCAACATACTCCACAGCTGAGTGCCAGGACTAGGACCCGGGCCCTTCGCACCATCTACTAGTCGCAGTGTGGTTTTTCTGCCCTTGTCCCGGTGTAAAAGTTGACTGGCTGCACTTTCCCCGCCCTCCCTAGAGGCTAAACTGAGACGTCAAGCTGGAGAGACCGTGCCTTCCCGAGGCTGGCCACCCTTCGAGCAGAGCCTCGGCCCCCTTCGCAGTGCCGGGCTCGGCAATATGAAGGAGCAGCCCTCATGTGCGGGCACCGGGCATCCGAGCATGGCGGGGTACGGCAGAATGGCCCCCTTTGAACTCGCTGTCGTCCCCGTGAAGCGCTTGAGAACTGAGTCCCCCTTTCCCTATCTCTTCGCAGAGGAGGCCTACCAAAAACTGGCCAGCGAGACCCTGGAGGAGCTGGACTGGTGTCTGGACCAGCTAGAGACCCTGCAAACCAGGCACTCTGTCAGTGAAATGGCCTCCAACAAGGTAAGTCCCGGCTCGGCTCGGCTCTTTCGTCACCGAGGCCCCTAGCCTGCAGATTCCCACCAGCCTCCTGTAGTCCATGGAAATTCTTACAGATATTTGTGATACGTACTGCATATTGGCTGTTTTCCCTAGGAGGGAGGTTCCCATTAACATCTCACCTCTCTCTTCCATTCATTGCAGGTAAATTAAACATTCTGCAATAGTGGCAAGATACAGTGGTGGTTTTTGTGTGTCCCACCCCAACCCCTAGGGGTTCCTAAGTGACTCTTTGTCCTTGCCTCAGAAACACTGTAGAGCCCATTAACATTGCATATTTCAAGCTATTCTTGGGATTCCCAGTTGAGATTTAGAACTGCTGGCTGTCTTGGAAGTTGCCACATAACCACATTCAAACTCTGAAGAGTTGACCGAACTTGGAACTTTAACCCTCATTAATCTGGTTGTCAGGATACCCTGTAAGAACTGAGCCTTTATATATGTAGTTGTCCAGACCTGTGAACAGGGCTCATCAAGAAAGTTTAAAGATTCCTTCTGATCATTGCCTTTGTTTCTTAGAGTGAAAATCTGGTTTTCAGAGGTCGTTTAGTTGCAGTAGTGCCATATGTGCCAAAGTGCTTGTCTTAGCTGTTACTGAAGCTCTAGGGGATGATGATGAGTAGCCTTGGGGGCTGAGACTACCTTAAAACAGCCTGGAACCAAGGTAGAGTGTTTACAGTTTTGCAGTATTTGGGGGGAATTCCAGGTTGTTGTTTTTTCTTTAGTTATGTAAGGTAGTAATTGGGATTCTGTATGTCTTTAATGGCTATTTGACTGAGTAGGACAGGAAAGAAAAGCATGTTAGATACAGATGGTTGGGAGAGTTAGGCAGTCAGGACTGGCAAGTTTTTGTTTGTGTGACAATTAGTAATAGCTGCTTCATAAAGACATTGAAGTCATTTTAGCCACCTATAGACAAGGAGTCCTGGTGTGGCACTGTGGGTTTATGCGCCAGACTGCAAAGCCCTTTGAACTACAAGGTCGGTGGTTCAAGCTCACCAGCTGCTCCTCAGAAACCCTGTACAGGGTCGCTATGGGTTGGAATCGACTCCGTGGCACTGAACAACAACTACAATAGACAAGGTCATTTGGGGTTTCTCTTTATATGCATATATATTTCAGTAAGTGATTTTTTTTTTTTTTAGTTTACTGTAGTTTTCATCCCACCTGTTTTTCCCTTCTTGCCCTTTTTTTTTAAATGATTAAAGAGTGATCAACTGTTAGCTTCAAATAAACAAATAAAAGGGGCTCCCCAGTCATTGCCTGTAGGCAGTTCCACTCTAACCTACCTCCATGCATACTGATGATCAAACTGGGTTTTGTTGTTGTTGTTATTTGGGCCTCATTTCTGAATTTGGCATGGCTCTCCAAAAAGTGTTCTAGTGTTGCTTACACACCCACCCTACTGTGGTATCAGGTGCCATTGTTCTCATTTAGCAGACAAATTCTTTGACACTGATGAGTGTTGTACAACAGCAAAGTGGTTTTTCATAATTTGAATAGAATAACTAGATTTACATTATCCTAAGCACTGAATTTTGAAGAGGATCTGAGTTCTTCATTCTATGGTCTGGTTACTGCTCTTGTAGCAAAAGTTAAGAGCAGAACGTGAAGGCACATCAAAAGATGTGCAAGCATTGGTTTAAATTGTCAAGGTGATTCAACAGTACTTTTTCAGCAAAATGATTCTGAGTAGCTGTTAGAAAATGGAGGTGAAATCTAACAATGTATTGTAAATTACTTAAGATAAAAAGAAAACTGTAGGTCACAATAATTGTATAAAATGAACCCGTTCTTTAAAAAAACACCAAAGAAAACAGGTGCTTCTTGCTGTTTAAAAATATCTTCATTGTGCAGGCCCCCAAAATCATGCTTTGGGCTTAGTATAGGAGCTGAGTTTATTTGGCTAAAGGGAAAAGGTAGGTAAAGTGAGAAAACAGGTTTCCAGAATGCAGTTACTAGAGTAGTTGTTGTCTTGTGATTGAAGATTGTTGACTTAACACCCCTTTTTACAATTAAAGTCAACTCAGCGGATGCTGTCGCTGCAATGTTTAATGTTGAAGCCATTCATTTCATTTCTTGCTTTTTAACCCATTCATTACTAAATATGTGCTAAACGCAAAGGATTTTTTTTTATGCTTGAGAAAGGACTAACCTAGAAAGAAAAGACTGTAAAATGACCCTCCTACTTGCTAAGAAGGGCACAAATAAGACATTGAAATGAACTCTAAGTGGAGTTTGAGCAGCTGATCTGAAGGTCAGCATGATGCCACACCTAAGTCTGAAGTAGAAGTCTGTATGGCTTACATCACATAACCATGAGGTTTATTGGTCTCTGGAGTATAAATTATTAAAAAAAAAAATCAAAATTGAAATTGACAGCAATGGATTTTAATGGATTGGAGTGTGAATGAATGGCTTCCTGGTTACTATTTTTTTGTTTGTTTTACCACCCATTCTTATATATATATATATATATATAACTACCGTCGAGTCGATTCCGACCCATAGCAACCCTGAACAGGGTTTCCGAGGCTGTAAATCTTTATGGAAGCAGAACGCCTCACCTTTCTCCCGTGGAACAGCTGGTAGTTTCGAACTGCTGACCTTTCAATTGGCAGCCCGATTCGTAACCACTACGCTACCAGAGGGTATATATATATATATATAATTTATATATATATAAATATTCAGACCAACATATATTTTCACGTTATTCCCTTTTGGCCTTTGGAAAATCGTGACATTTTTCTGTTTACTCTAATTTACTCTAAGTAGTACAATTAAAATTGTACAATTATAAAACAATAGTAAAAAATAGTTTTAGCTTGAAAGTCTTAATAGAGAGAAAATATTTATTATGGATTTTAGTGGTAGGAAGAAATTGATTTCATATTAGAAATTGGGTTAACATGTTATTCATAAATGTTTTTTAAAAGCTTAATAAATGCTGTAGTATAAGCACTGGACTGCTAACCACATCTCACCAGCTGTTCCTTGGAAACCTTACACAGGGTCGCTATGAGTCGGAACCAATTCAACTGCAGCTAACACCACCACCACCAACAGTACTTTTGTTTGTCCCTTTTACTTATGTTTTAGAAGCAACTGCTACTACAGTTCCTGTATTGGTATGATAATGTGGATCCTGCTTCTTGGTGGTATTGAATTCTTGGCTAAGGCCAGTATGGAGGGAGGGGTACATATATGGTGCTTGTAACAAGTGGAGTAACTAAGAGAAGCCAGATGGCATTTAGTTTGAGTGGTTAAGTCTATAGCAGTTACCCCCATAAGCACATTAATCTGCCCGAGATTTGTACAGATTTCCTTTGGAACTTCATTGCTCCAGTTGCAGTTTTGTGAGGTCTCAGGGCTTAGAAAGCAGCACAGCTGGAAGTTGAATCCTGGTTTTGCCCTTTGTTAGCTGACTGACTTTAGAGAAATTTCTTAAAAAACTTTTTTTAACTTCAGTTTCCAAAGCGTAACAGATAATAAATACCTACTTTAAAAGTCAATATATGGGTTAGAAAGAATACGTATGAAACACATAGTTAATACAGTATCTGACAGTAGTCCCTTTGGCTGCACTCCTGGTGTGGAGCTATAGGATCAGCACTGGACTGTGAACCACAAGGTCAGGAGTGCAAACCCACCAGCTGTTCCTCAGAAATCCTATACAGGGTCACTATGAGTTGGAATTGACTCAGCGGCACTTAACAACAGTATCCCTTTGGTTACCATTGTTATTTGTGACTTAGCTCAAATTTCATTGGTAGTCTACTTGGCTAAAACAAACTGGGTGCTATCAGTTAGATTTCAACCCATAGCTTCCCTCTAGTAAAGAGGAGAACTGCCCCATCAAGTTTCCAAGACTGTAATCTGTATGGATTTTGATGGGTAGATCTTTCTCCTGCACATTGTATGGTGGGTTCAAACTACCAGCCTTTCAGTTAGCAACTAAGTGCTTAACCACTGTGCCACCAGGGATCCTTTTGGCTATTTTATATATTTTTGCCTTTTGTTTTTAACCAGTCGTAATTTACATTTGATGTTTTCAGTATCATCACTTTTTATAATTCTTAGATATCTATCTTTAAGGCTATATTTCTATATTATAAAAATGGTTGAATTATTGTTGTTGTTGTTAAGTGTTGTCAAGTCGGTTCTGACTCATAGCAACCCTGCATAGTGTTTCCAAGGAGTTGCAGGTAAGCTTGAACTGCTGACCTTGTTGTTCAAACCAACCATGCAGTCCAGTGCATTAACCCGCAGCGCCACATCAGGACTCTTTTTCACGTGTTAATCTAGACATAAGCATTTTGATGTTCTAACTAGAAGTTTTGTCTTTTCTTAAATTCCAGTTATGAAATTCCAGACAGAAGTGTTCAATGCTTTTTCTATTATACTCTAAAACTGAAAAGATGACCCTGATGAATTTCTAGAACATGAGAAAAATAATATGGGATTGGTGGGCATTTTTCCATCATTTTGTAGAGATTTCACAAAGCTCTTACTTAATCTGCTCCTCATGCAGCATAATTTAACAATAGTGTTTTGGGTTGTACTTCTGTCGTTGAAAGTAAATTGAGATGGGAATTAAGATAAAAAGGACTACTAGGAAGTCTTTGTTGTTGTTGTTGTTAAGTGC